AAAATACGCTCAAAATACTTTGATCTTTCCTCTTAATAATAACATAAACATTTAGACGATAAAATTTTGTTTTCGTCAAGTTTGGCGTCTTTTTCATCATGCTATGCTCTTTTTTTTAACGATCTCGTGGAGATATCTAATAAAAGAGATTTACGTTGGGACAATTCTTTAAGCTCGCTCGTAATACACAGGAACAAAGGTGGCCATAACTTTGAGTTTTTACAAATGCCACGCTCATTATAAAAGAACTTAAAATATGAATATGTGAGTGTCTTTTTTACGTCGGAAATACTTCTGGGGAATACTGATAAATATTTTACCAACCTATCAAAACACTATATTACATCAACAACCATAATTTAAATCGATTCTTAAAGAATCTAATGTATGTTAATATACCACCACTCGTATTTACGTTAATACCTTCCAAAATCAACATGCTGATAACCAGAAAATATAAATAATGTTTACTAGACATACAAAAACACACACACACACACGCACACACTTACGAATATACATTATAATCTGAATCCCTTATAGAAAAAACTAAAATTATGATTCGCTTACATAGATACCGCCACAAAAACAACAGTAAAAAACAATACCTTAGATTTATAATGAATATTATAAATGAAAAATCTTTCTTGAAGCTTTTATTTTAATTTTAATTTCAAGATAATAGATTTAATATTTTTAATAAGCAAACTATTTGGCTGTATTTAAATAACTAATTTAAAAGTAATTAAATGGACTGGAAGGATTTTTTTCTAACAAAAGCTGATTATCGCCTTTTTTAGCCGTATTTCATCGCCATTTAAATTAAATATTTTATTTAAAACCTTCCAAAAATAAAATATACTTTTCTCAAAGTTTATTTGAAAAATATTAGCTAAAGTATAAATAATCTCATTTAAAACATATTATTTACTTTAAGTTTACAACATCGGAGAAATTATTTTTTTTATCAGCATTTAACCCAACAATCGCCGTGATTTTAACCGACAACAGCCGTGTTTCCATGTTTGACAAGTATAACTGTTCTCCGTAGACTTTATCGGTAAAACATAATTGAAGCAAATGACGTGAGTGTCTTTTATTAAATTTAATTTTTAAGGACTCATTAATCTTAAAAATCTAGGAAAATATTTTCCGTAAACTAATGTTTTATTGAATTTTTAAAATTTTGACTTCAAATTTACTAGAGTTGTCGTTCTTATTTTCTGATAATGTTGTGTATTGTCGTTCCTACTTACTAAAAACGGTACGTTTATACACTAATAAAAAGCACTCATAATTATTTTAAAAATATTAGTGTTTGATGAATTGTATTAAGCTTCTTCGTCTATGATAATTACATATACTTTTCACTGAATAATAATATGATCAAAACCGATGAAATTAATACAGAATTTAAGAAGTTTTAAGAGTTAATAAATTTTTAATTAAAATTTAAAAAAATGTAAATAATTGTTGTAAAAATCCATTATTCATCGAAAAAATATTTTCTTAAGTGACTAATGTCATTAATATATCTTGTTTATAAAAGTCAATAAAAGGCTTTCTAATTAAATGTCAAAGTTTTATTGTATTTTTTATTTTATAATTCAGAGATTTTCGGTTTGACAAATACAAATTGATGATTTAGATTCTCCAAGGAGTCATACATCAACTAATATAAATATGAAGATCCCGAAATTTTAATTTCTCAAAATTTCAGAAAATTAATTGGGGGATAACAGAGAAAAATATTTTAAAAATAATTTCATTCATTTTTTAGTAATTCCTGAAAATTTTATTAAAATCCGACAATTATTTGATTTTTGCAAGAATTTCCAAAACATCATGTTTTTTTCCCGCAAAAAAAAATCAGTAAATTTCCCATACCAATCATTGGTCTACAGCTGACGCAAGAAAAACGAGATTTTTAACAAAAATTTCGAGCGTGCAGGAAAGGAAAAAAAATTAATAAAATAAAAAAAAAATAATAAAACGACTTTGCTTTTTCCTATTAATAATGACATAAACATTTTGATAATAAAATATTGGTTTTATCAATTTGGAGCCTTTTTCATCATTGCTATGCTCATTGTTTTTGTTGCACTTAGAATCCGTTAATTTTTTGGAGCTTCGAAGGAACGTGTTCTCTCCTTCAGTTTTGAATGTCATAAATTATACTTTGTTAACAGGGGAACTGCACGGGAAACCCGATTAACCAATGAAATTCAAACCAAATAAAAATAACCAGAATTGTTCTCTTTTTTTTATTCATATCTCATCTTCTGATGAAGCTTCAATAAAAGTGAAACATGATAGATGGATAATACATTCACACACACACACACATACATACATATATATATATATATATATATATATATATAGAAATATATATATATATATATATATATATATATATAAGAAAGAGAAAGAACAGATGGAGTTTGAATTTTAATCGTCCCTCATCGCCCGATGAAGAATGATTAAATTTCGGAAACATGAAAGTTTTTGTGTAACGATGCAAAGGGTTTATTGCAAAATTATAATTTATTATAATCTATTATATATATATATATATATATATATATATATATATATAGAGAGAGAGAGAGAGAGAGAGAGAGAGAAAGAGATAGGGTAGTTGGATAGATGGATATATAAACATAAAATAACTTTATATTGAACGTATTCTTCGAATTGTTTGATTCTTTGATCACCATGGAGGAATCGGGTAATCTTAGTTGAAAAATCTTGCAGCAGGATAAAGTGAGTCCTCCGTATTCGCGGGGGTTATGGACCAGAACTGCCCGCGAATAGTTAAAATCCGCGGATACTTGTAAACCCCCCCCAATTGCTTATAAGTACCTGTTTTGATTGTTAAAACCATATATGCCTCAAACGTACATCCTAAACACTTTAGAAATATTTCAGACCATTTTAAGACCATTTTAAAACCATTTTTGAAAAATAGTATTGGTGACCATACACTTAGCGTAAATTTTCATTCATACGTCCAATAACCGTTTTTAATTATCCACAGATCGATACAACCATTAAAAATATCGTATAAAATATGTGTAACCAGACATAAAATAAAAAGTTTAAAACATTTTCTAAAAACAGATCTGTGATGATGTCTTCAGACTTAAGCCACTTTAAAGACCCCAGCCGCAGCCCCTAACAAAGAATAAAGCCCAAGCACTACGTCTATGTGTTTACTTTTTTAAAATGAAGAAGTACAATTCTGCCAATTTCTACAATAAAAATGGACCTTTTATATATTTTAAGTCACTTAAATAACAGGAAAATAATACAACACTATTTTAAATATGTTATATCGAAAAAATACGCGAATCGAGGGAGTTCTCAGCGAATAATTTGTACAGTGTAACTCGGATATAAGAGACCCGGATATAAGTGAAACCCGGATATAAGAGAAACCCGGATATAAGAGATTTTCTCTGGTCCCAAATTAGAGCCTGTGTTAATGTATATATAATAGACCAAACCCAGATATAAGAGAAACCCGGATATAAGAGACTTCTACTCCGGTCCCGACAACTCTCTTATATCCGGGTTACACTGTACATATGTTTGTCAGAAAAATACGCAAATATTCGGGGTTTCCACGAATAACAACCACATATGTTCTAAAGAAAAATCCGCGAATATGTGAAACCGCGAATGCTGAAACGCGAATAGGCGGGGGCTTACTGTAATTATATTTATCTAATTTAGTCTTCTAG